CAAAAATATTTCGATTCAATTTCAGTGTAGTTATTTTTAATGAACTTAATATAATATGTATTTTTAAAAAAATTATATATAATTAGATTAATATTGAAATTCAAGAAAATTAAATTTTTCTGTTTTTTTCCCCTCGAAAATACATGTCTTTTGGATTAGATTCTCTTCAATTTGGCACAGTTTATAACTGAATCTAATACGTCATTTTTTCACTTCACTTTCAGTTAGTGATTCATTACATTACGTTTTTTTACAGTTCTGGTTTATCTCACGTACAATTTTGAATGAGTAACAAGCGAATAAAGAAAACTCTCCTAATTCACATTGCCTTTAATATAAGGCTGCAATTTTCAAATTGCAGATCTATTAATTTCCATTGTCTGATTAACTACATTCCGAATTTCCGGGCTGGACGGAAATTCAGATGATTTCAATTCAAAATTTTCTCGAGTACTATGTCAGATGGACAAAAATCGCGACTGGCAGGATGGCCGAATTGTTAAGGTGGCAACTTATCGCTCTGTGCTCTTCGAGAGTGTCGAATAACCCAGAAATTTTGGGGTTGGTCTTTCCGGATATTTCGGGTTCCATGCCTCATCACCCTGCCGCCCCATTAGTAGGTCTGCCGAACCCATAATGGGCATGCTAAAAAGGCCCTCTTAGTGTCTATAGGGTGGAAAGAGTTTTAAAAAATATATTTTAAAATTACAGCAGAGTTGATCTGAATATTTGAAGGACTTTCCTTCATTAGGAACTGTTTTAAAGAAAAAAATATATATAAAATAATAATGAATGATGTCATTCCAGAATAACAAAGCATGTTTATGTACGTAGTATATAATATTAATGAAAAAAAAAACAAATGTAAGTAAGGTGGAATGCTCAAAATTAGCGCACATTTCGGTTAATATCCTTTACGGGAAGGAAAGGATTATCATCTAATGATAGATATTTCTCGTAGGTCGACAAAGTATAAGACACGAGAGACACACTTACAGATTCTAATGTTTAACGACTTGAAATAAGATTAAACATTTTCAAATTTTACTTAATACCAAATATTTTTATTTCCATACTATTAAATTTTATTTATCACGTTAATTTAATTTAGTAAGATCACCTATAAAGTTAAATCTTCGATTGTTTTTTAAACATTTTTCATTCTGTGGGCTCTAAGAGGGCATTTTACCCATACACATCGAGGGTTTGGCCAGATTTTGAGATTCAGTCAAAAGTATTCAGTGTATTATCTAATTTTACAATATTTTAATTATTATATTTTTCTTATTACACAAGAAAACTTGATTTTTAGTTTATTCTCTTGTCATTTTGGTTTAGAATGCCGAATCATTCGAAAGAAAAGAAAGTCTTCTTGCGTTGACAGGTTACGTTTTCATGTTTTACATTTGAGTGATTTAATTTTATGACAACTATTTTTTAAATATTTTATTTGGTGTAATGGCTGCCATATCATTGAATAATTTTAATGGACTTAAAGAAAAATTTTATTTTTTCTTCAGAGCTGTCGAGAGCTTGTATGGGCCTCGAGGTAGAGCAGACTCTTTTTGCCCCTTTAGCCATTTTGTTTTTAGTTAGTAAAAATAACATTAATTTTATAGAGATAGTAACCATCGTGAGCCTCTAATCTTTTTTCAGCTTCAGGAAAAAAAAAATTCCTATCTTCTCCTCTCGATGGCACTGCCTTGCCATATGTTTTACATAAAAAAGTTAGATTGTCAGAAAGTATTGCGTGATGCGAATTTAAGAATGAATAAAAGATAATCGACTTGGTAAAATTGATTTAACTTTGCTTCCATGCATAAATTATTTTCTTCTACTCGATTAATTCAGAAGCCAATTAACCAGATGATGGCACGAAAAAGTATCAGTCTATGGATCAATCCAGGTTTCATAATTTATGCTAACTGATCCCATTTTGAGCCACGTTTGCCTATAATTGGCAGAATTGTGGCCTGCCGGTGTATTTATGTAAATTTGAAATTTATTAACTCATGGCCCTGTAGGCTACATTGCGCATTACTAATCTTGCTCTATGGACTTTTCCGATGCAATTATTTTATATATTGTATAATTCAGAAATACTCTGCGGAGCCAAGACTGCCCAATAAAATGTGTTATATGGGTTAATCTCTAATTTAAGATAAACTGACAGTTGATATGTTTATACGTAACTTTTTAAGATTAAATTTTCTAAATTTAAAACACGATTAAGTAGTTTTTTAAGACTCTTTCCACTATGTGCTCACTAAGAGGGCATGTTTTAATCCATTCCATTGCAGTGGCGCGTTATAACTTCATGGGGCCCCGGAAAATTTGAATTAGGGGCTCCACGTACAGTGTTAACTTCAGACATTTTTCTTCGGGGAAAATTTTGGAAAATATTTTCTTGTCAAAGATTGGTTTGTTAGTGGAGCGCCCAGGCAATTGACATTTCTGTCCAGATGTTAACGCGCCACTGTTCTATTGTGGATTTAGCCAGGTCCACAACGGGATGGCGAGGTGGCTATGGACAAGATATGGAAAAATCAACCCTAAAAATCTCTTAGAATACGGAATTTTCGCGGTTTTTGTTTCTCATTATCTGACCCTCTAATAATCCATGCAAGAAAGTTTTCCTTGTGTTCATACAGTGGAAAAATATTTGAGCTAAAAGTTTCTTTAAATCTCGGATATCTCAGACACATTAAATAGGCACATTATATATAACCATTAATTAAATATCTATTCGATACAATGACATTGAAAAATGAAGCTTATATATTGGTTTATCATGATAAAAATTCAAATAATTAATTAAAAAATAACACTTTAGCTACACAGAGATATTAATAACACATCTGGATAATATTAAAAGTTTTACATTGCTAAATACTGTATTCTTGAAATTTGACACATGACTTGTTAACGTGCCCAGCTGCCATTTTCTAAACCCAATTTTTTTAAGGTAAATATATTTATATGTTCAATGATAAAATTCACAGATTTGTTTTCCTCTAAAAAATTTTATCATCTTATTCTTTTTCTGTGTTATAACCGTATGTTTCTCAACCTCTTGATGTTAACATATACATAATCCATAAATTATAATTTCCTATAATTCTTTAAATTACCGCATTGTGGATATAGGTTATGTGAAAGGCCTGAAGTCTACCTATTACTATTAATAATTAATAATAATATGATTATGTGAGTAGCAATACGAATGTTGAGAATATCACGTGTCTGGATCTCGTTCGGTGATTGGTCACACTGAACGAGTTCCTGACACGCCATACTGTTGTATTCTCAATAAGTGTCACGTGGTATTCTCAATACATCGTTGCTACTTACGTAACTCGAGACTAAGCATCCAAAACTTCTCGTGAGTAAATTATAAGGCTTCTATGACCACATGATTGAACACTATTTAATTTAATTTTTTAATATATTAAATATAAGAAACACAAGAATACACCAATGCTTGTAGTTTTATAAATTAAATAATTTTATGATAATTCAATATTATTCTGTATATTTTGACCTATTTTCATAAAAAATTTTATTGTAAAATTTAAAAGAAAGGAGAAATTATATTTTAAAACAACTATTTATGGATTTGTCGAGTTACAATCCGACTTTAACCATAAATTCTGCCACCTTAGATCTAAATTGGTTTACAGAGAAAGCTGCTCTGGAATCAGTAAACTAATTTTTTTAAATTATTTTATTTGCATATTACGTAGTTATTCTTAAATATAAATAAAAAATTTTTAAGAAATGCGCTGAATAATAATGAATTTAATGTTAAAAGAATTTTACCTTAATTTTTTACTTTCTACGCGAATTTCATGAAATGTTAGGCCCATGTTGCCTCCATCATAAACTTAGCCGAACTTACGATGGGCTTGACTAAAAAAGGCCCTCTTTAGTACCCGCAAGAGGAAGGAGTCAAAAATAAAATAAAAACAAATATTTATCCTTCTATTCCTGTCGTTCATTTGGCTTAGAAATAAACGAAATGATTAGATTTCTGCTCTAGAAGTAATCATTTTGACGTATCGAACTCCTTATTTAGTCAAAGAAACTGAATACCGACAATAAATTTATTTTTATATTTTCTTTACCGAATTAAATTCTAAATATTCCAAATAAGACATTTCTAGAAACAATTAAAATGATTAAACTAAAATTAATTTTTAAATTTTGCAGATATTTTAATAATTTAAATTCTTGTTTTCTCGAAATTCGTTAACTGTTTACGTAAGGAAAGAGTAGAATTTCAAGGATGACCTCTCTGGCTTAAATCCAAAATATTCGATTCTTTAACAGTTTAAAACGTTTAAAGAATTTATATTTATTTCTTTAAAATCTTTAAATATATTCTGTATTATTTATATATCAAATACAGTAAATTTATATGTATTACTCATAAGCCGTTATGTCGCCATTAAAATTGACATTGTGTTAAGTGTTTACAAAGGAAATTTTAAATTTTAAATTGATAGAGAAAAGGTAATTTAATAATAATAATAATAATAATTTATTTAAAGAAAATAAAGGAAAGAAATATCACTGATGTCTTTTGTAATTTACATACTAACTTGATCAGAATTGTTTAAACTTTAAAATATTATACAAGATCGATAGAAGCGAAGGAGAAAAATTTATAAACAAAATAATAAGATTTGAATACAATATGAGTATAAAAATAACATGAAAACTTTATATATGTAAAAGAATACGTTGCATATTGAAAGAATACTTTCTGGGAATAATGATTCTTCAGATCTATTCNATGAATAATTCAATATCAATCAGTTATTTTATTCTCTTAATAATAATAATAATAATAATTTATTTATTATTTTCAAATATAATTATAATAATCATTTTTTTTTAAATTCTGAATTGTGTTTTGATATTAATATATAAATTCTTGATTTTTATTTGTTAAAGTTTGTGTACTCTTTTTTATTTTTAAAGATTTATTTACAAAAACATTCAAGTTTTAAACATTTTTATTCATCTGCCGTAAAAGAAATTAAGCTTTTCAGAAAGTCTTTCGGAGAGAAGAACGAAAGAAAAAAAAAAAAAAAATTCAAAAGAAAATTTCGGCACCCATTGCTTACATGAACCACTCGTTAAGGCTCGCCATAAGAGTGCAAGGAATCATGTACAAAGAGAAAGAAAAGGAATCTACACTTTAAAAAGACTCGATAGTACATAGGAAGACAGTTATATTATGTGCCACATGATGATCAATGACGGAGCCTTCGGATGACATTTTCCATGGTACAATGTATTCAGCAGCTCTTGGTGTCGATTCTACAAATTAAATTTAATTAAATTTTCTATTTTAATTAACTTTTTATAAAAATGTTTATGTATTATTTCGAAATTACCACAGTGATGGAAATTATGCACCCTCTTCTTCGTCCTTCGCACTACCTGTGAGAAGAGCAGTGAATTTTTTGATGTCAATGTAACCTTTGCTGTCAACGGGAGCTTCACTCAAGGCATCGTCCATCTGTAAAAAGTAAAAATAATTTTTAATTATGAATTTTAAAGTTAATTGAATAATTTGTCGAAATTTACCTCATCTTGTGTAAGCTTCTCACCCCACGTTGTCAGATCGTGCCGTAACCTGTAATGTTACAATAATTTAAGTTATAAAGATATAATTATTTATTTACAGTTATATTACAGGATTTAAAATGAATTCAATTACATACTTGTCTTCCTTCATCTTTCCATCTCCTTCATCGTACAGATTAAATGCCTTGATGATAACTTCGTCTTCATCGCTACCTGTTATATAAGTATTTTATTCATTAGTAATATTGTTTATATTTTTTACGTGTAATATATATTATATCTATTAATAAATTTAATATAATTAACTCCGTTTTTACCTGAAATTCTGTCACCGAAAATGGTCAGGAACATGGTGAAGTTGATGGGACCGGGAGCTTCAGAAATCATTTGCTCCAACTCCTGATCAGTACAGAGACGACCTGAAATAGTAAAGTTAATTTTTTTAAAGGTAAGAATCGTCCCTTATACATTTTTATTTTAATTTACAGTAATCCTACAACCCTGAACCTTAACACATTCGGTTTTACTTTATCAAATTTAAAACAATTACAGTTTGATTTTTAATTAAGAAGGAACACTTCTGACGACAAATAAACCTTTTAATATTTGAAAATAATATAATGAAATGATTTACCTAACGAATCAAAAGTAGCTCTGATGTCATTTTTGGAGATAAAACCATCTTTGTCTTGGTCGATCAATTGGAAAGCCTGAATATGAATAAACACGTGTTAAATTACTGGAAATAATGTAATGATGGAAAAAAAAAACTATGAAAAATAACTAACTTCTTTGAATTCCTGAACTTGATGTTGTGTAAACATAGCAAACACATTTGATGTTGATCTCTGTGCTCGCTTCTTTGCGGATGCTTTAGCGGGCGCTGCTGGTGCTGGAGCTTCCTCTTCCTCTGACTTCTTCTTGCTCTTCTTCTTCTTTTCCTTCTTGTCGTCGTCTCCCTGAAAAAAGGAAAACAAAATTAAAATTAAATTAAATAGAATATAAAATTTAATTAGATTTTATTTTATTTTAATTAATATTTTTCCTCCCCTTTTTCTCGCTAGTTAAATGTAATTTGAAATGTTCTTGTTTTAATAAATTACGAATATCTCTCCAAAGAAATCAAGTAGTGAAAACTCTAGAATATTTTAAAAGTTAATTTTTCAAATATACAAATATTTATGGGTTCAAAATAAACGCGAAACACTATTTTGTAAAGAAGGAATTGAATTACTGTAAACGAAAACGGTTGAAGGAGGATAAGTTTAGATTTTTATAATTGAAAAGTTTTAATTATAATTTGGATATTCTTATTATTATTAATAAGCGAAACAGAGAACAAGGTTTAAAAATAATAAAAACCTATATTTGTTGTAGATGTTAAGGAGGAGGAAGCTAGGACAGGGTGTCGAATTACCAAAGCGACATCCAACGGAAATTGTAATGATTCTATATTTAGATAGAAGAATATTCTACTTGTAAATGGTATATTAAATCTAAGAGCAACCAGTTTAACAACTTTTATTATTAAATATTTAATAATTTTCATATGTTTCATCTCTAACTCCATCTATTCTTTCCTCACCCACTTCTTGTTTTAAATAAAAAAAACTGTGTTAATTGTCAAATTCATTAATTTAAAAAAATATAGAAAAAATTTAAAATAAGTATTAAATTATTAAAAATAATATTGCATAAAAGATTTATTAAAATAAAAAATAATTTTTCATTTTTTAAAATATAATAATTCAAATTTTCTGTTGAGAAAAACAAGAGAATGTGAAAGTCAGGAGGTTGAAAGGCAGACTACCATAAATACTCTGTTCTAGCCAGGATCCTATTTGATCTAATTCAGGCATCACCCAAAATGGCGTGCGAATCATTCCTCGGACTCAGCACACTCCAAGTTATTTTTAAACATTCAGCTCAGCTCGACTGCATCCCCATCTCCTTTGTTATCTATTAAGTCAGTACGGAGCTAAATATAAGTCACCATTCTTAAGGTCTTCCTTATAGAGTGTCTCGAGTTTTTCACTAATGAATCATACAACGTAGGCCTTTCCAAAACTTTAAAAATAATTGTAACAATGGCATTTTCGACAATGATTTTTCTTTTAAATGCAAAATTTACATGACATCGTCGGTTAAATGCATTAATGAATGTTAAGGTAAATTCGAAAAATATGGCAAAAAGCCAGTAATTAACTAAGTGGAACACAGATTTATCCAGATCTGCAACATCTAACGTATCTTATACGTAGGTGTTGATATTTCATAATTAATTTTCAACTTAGCAAGTTTGTGAAAAGCGTGATTTGTATAACATTACGATGATTTATTATAGAACCAAGTGTATTTTAATAATTAATTATGTACCAGTTAGTAAATTATGTAATTAGACCTTAGGGATGGATGTTGATAACTTATCGCTTCATCTGTTTTGATGAATCCTGATCATTTTTATCCCTGTAAAGCTACGATTTTTATATTAATTAACTATATTATTTTGATATCTTTCCATTTTTATAATTCAGCAACTTATACTTTTATTATTTATTAAGAAAAATATTGATTTAGTTAGAATTTACTAACTTGTAACGAGCTTCAACATATAACACGGATAAACATCTTTATAATTAAAAACAATGATTATTTTTGGAATTAAATATATTATTTTACTTAATAAATAATCATTTTTTTCTTAATTATAATTATAAATAAGAATTATAAAGGTTAATTTTTTTGCATAGAATATTTACTGCTTGATTCCTGCTTATATTTTTGCTCTTTGCCTTCTGATGATTTAAATAATTATATTAAAACGTGTAATATTATAAATTTATAAGATATATTCTACAGTATTATGTATATTATTTTTTCCCAAGAGATTTAATTTCAATTTTAAAGCGAAAATCTGATGTAACTTCTGTTGTGGATCGTTTTTTTCTTAACTTTCTCAATACTTAAATTAATTATTTTCAGATTTAAAATACTTTAAATTAATGCTAATCGAGATAAATTACAATTTCATTAATCTGAAAATAAAGTCTTCTCTGCAGTTAATTTCTAAAAACTGAAAATATAACGAGAGTAAGAATTTTTTCTGAGATTCTTATCCATTGCCTACAATGATTTCTGTAATTCTCTTTAACTTTTCTATGAATAAACCAAATTTAAATAAGTTATATCGATGATAGACTTGTCTGAATAACAGGAAGCATCAGATTTTTCTCTTCAAAAATTAAATNAAAAATTTTGTTTAACTAAATATAATCTTTAAAAATTAAAGTATTTAATGCATATATCAAGTTTTAAAATAAATCACAAAAAATAGTAAATTTATTTTAAAACGATACTACAGCCATCTATTGACAGGAAGACAAATTATAAATGTACCAAGTGTAAGTATACGAAAGTAAAAAGTTTTAACCTTATATTCGAATGGAATGCAGGATGCTATTGTTGTTGTTTTATCTGATAAAAGTCACTTTATTAGAATACTACGTCTTGTAGGCCTTATAACACTTCTAGCTTAGTACAATTTGACGTCACGGTTGTCATCCCCAAGTTACTATTCTTGTCATTGTGACACCAAATCGTATCCTTACGTCACCAATAAAAGCAGGTAAGAGAATGGAAAATACTTGGATGACATTTCGTAAATAACAAGGCATGGACGAAATTTTCTTTTTATGAAAGGTGAAAGAACGGGGTGTTACAGAACTTCATTATTAAAAATAATTGCATGCTTTTTGATTGAATTCCCTGGCAGTAATTATGATTCACGACTTCATGACAAATCTCTGCATTAGGTAATTTATCATCGCCGGCTTTAAAGTGTATCTTGATAATTTCAGTGTTGAGCTGTTACGAGTACTTAATATTCTCCTCTATATTGCGTGTGGCAGTTTAACCTATACGAGGAATTTCCGCTAGATTAAAATGTGGCGCTCGTTTGTTAAATCTAGAAGTTGTAGTGTTTCTCTATTAGTGTCTAGCAGTTGTAGTGTTCGTCTGCTAGTGTCTAGAAGTGAGGCAGAACTCTTGAGGGCGGTAGAAGACTCAAGGGGGGGGGGGCGTTGAAAGGCGAAAGGTAGCAGGGGGTGTTGGAAGACAAAGGAGATAAAATTTCATTTCACACAAAACAAATATAAGAAAAATATGCACAAAAAGAGACGGTAGTCCGAAAATTTTGGGAAACATTGTTCTAGACATTATAATCTAGAAGTTCTAGTGTCTAGTAGTGTTTCTAGTTTATAACATTTCGCAGTTGTATAAAAAATAAGGGAGGATGTTCGAAGAAATTCAGGAGCACTTGATAAACCGTTCATCAAAGGAACTCACTTTTGGCAAAAAAAAAAAATTCCTAAATATAGAACTGACAACATAAATCATTTCTTTGTGCTTTGTCTCTTATCTGTTATGACAGGTTTACATTTCCTACTTTCAAGTATTAAATTTGGTGTATAGTAGAGTGGCGTTTAAGAGAGTTGCACTTTGGTAGGTTCTATAGGTACTTTGCTACTGACAAATTAGTGAAGCGGAAAGCAATCGGAAACTTGTAACAGTTTCGGTGGCAGAAGAAGATCGGGTTACTGTCGAAATTCAATTAAAGAAAGCGGTTCCTGTGATATGGTGAACGAAAACAAGTCGACTGTTGTCGACGGTAGTTCAACGCTTTCATTAATCATCGAATAATTAGGCGAAAACGTTTTTACTAGAAAGTAATTAAAGACAATTTAATTGATTCGGTTAAACATTTTTATTAGAATAAAACAATTTTACAACATTTAACTTAAACGACATACAGCTATAAATGAAAAAATCGATCTTAACACATACACAAAAGCATCCTCGTGTTATGTATATTCTTCTATTACGTAATCTTGAGCAAAAAAACAATATACTTCGTTACTTCAATAAGACTATAAATTATCTTTATTTTCACAATACAGAATTATTATTTACAAACATATGGCGTCGGGTTCGGGCCGAGAGTTTTTTGGCACTCTAGGAAGATTTTGGCGCCACACCAACACCAACGTTAAAGGGCGCTGTAGCGCCCTTTAACCGATGCTGGTGTGATGCCCCTAAATTTTCATCCCCCTAGTGTGCCTGTAACTCGTGCCGGCCCTGTGTGGCGTTACAATGTCGAATATTCATTCTAATATTAAACAACTTACGTCATAATTTCTTTTACATATTTTCTGTGCGTTTACAGCGTGACTTTATTTCTCGTAATAACAATTTACTATATTTAACTCGATTAAAATAAATAAATATACATATATATGTATATATAAGACTGCTACTATCGGAGGATATTTTGGGACTCTTCGTTAACTAGAGGCTACTCTGTATTTAATTTCAGCAAAAAATGAATATTCTTTTAGTTCTTTATCCAAAAATATTCTTTCAAAATTCTAATTTCTGTAAGCTAAATTTTTATAAAATTATTTATGATTTTTGCTCTTTTGTGTATTACAATAATTTATTATTTAAAATATTTGATTATCATTTTTTTAAATCTCTGTAAGCATAATTTTCCTCTTTAAAAGATATGTTTTAAATTTATATTTTATATGATTTTAATTATTTTTCGTATAAACTTTTAATTTAATAAATGCTTACATTTTATATAGGCACGTTTATGTTTGGACTTGCAGAATTTACATAGGAACACAAACATTTTCGAGTTTCCTGTGACTGGAAACTTACCCAAACTAAATTAGACCTTATATTTATATAACGAAAGTTATAAACATTAGCAATTAGGCCTTAAATTGTATTATTGCCTAGAAAATTGTGGGCATTATTTATTTTTTTAATTAATAAATATGGAATGATAGCCGCAAGTAGATAGAACGAGTCAAACATCCGATTTTCCGGGCCAATTTCCGGGAGCTTCGATTTGGTTTACGGGGTTACCATTAATAGGCGACGATCTATGGTTATTATTATTCCATTGGCTACCATTATCGATGTAACACAATCCGCAGCATTTAACATGGAGGTAAGTAACCAAGATCCTACGGAATGCATCGCGAAATTCTGTATTAAATATACTATAGATAATTGGATTCAGAGCCGAATTGAAATATCCGAGCCAGGTAAGCCCTTTAAACGTCCATTCGGACACACAGTCGTTACAGGAAGCGTGTACAATATTAACACAGAAGAACGGTACCCAACACACTAGAAACACACCCATAATGATGCCTAGTGTAATGGCTGCTTTGTGGTCCATACTGTGATAAGATGTATGACTGAACGGCCTTGCTAATTTTGTAGGTTTGGCTGCCGGATTAGCGGGTGGTGTGAAACCGGGTTTTGTAACCGCTCTGATATTTCGTACGTGTTTTCTGGCGTAGAGATAGAGTCGAGTATAAAGAGCCACCATGACAACACAGGGAACGTAAAAGCTGATAGTAGAAGATACAACTGCGTAAGTAGTGGTTAATTCCAGAGCACACACGGGTTGTCCGTCAATAACGGGTGGAGGTTGAATTTTATTAGGTTTATGCCAACCCAAACTTATTGGCAGAAAGGAGACGAGTGCTGATAATATCCATATACCACCGATAGCAGATAAAACTATTTTCTTGGTCATCCAGCGTCCGTATCTCAAGGGATCTTTAATGTGAATAAACCTATCTAAACTTATGGCACAGAGATTGAGGATCGATGCAGTCGAACACATGACGTCGAAAGCAGTCCAAGTATCGCAGAACTGAGATCCAAACATCCAATAACCCATTAAATCGTTGGCTACTGCAAACGTCATTACTAAAGATGCCACAAATAAATCGGCTAAAGCTAAAGACACTAAAAAGAGATTCCCGAGTTTTCTTAGTCTTCGATCGGTGTAGATCGCTACACAAACAAGAATATTCCCGGATATCGACAGGAATATAATAAGTACGAGTAGTATTCCAACAATGCATTTTGTCGTTAGGTTCCAAAAGTTTTGATTTTCAGTTTCGGGTGTCGTGGATGATGAGTTGTTATCAGGAAAAACAGACACCATGTTTGATACTTGGTCTCTCCATTCGGGGTTTGCCACTTGTTTCTACATAAAATAAAATAAAAAAGAATATATTAAAACTTATAACTTATTTTTAAAATATAAAATCAAAACCTTCAAATGACGAGAAATACAAAAGAAATTGAGGTTTTATTTCTATATATATGTATGTATGTGTGTGGAGGAGCATAATTTCCTTCACCCTCTTTGAAGCTTAATAACTTCTGTGCCTTTTGTCCAAAATTTCTGAAAATTTGCAACGAGGTTTGTGTGTTAAGGGATCGACGATATTAAATTTTGGTTGTTAAAAGTCCAGGGATTGGGGAGATAGAAAGGTGTGTTTCGTATCTCGAGTGGGGTTAACTTAACGAAGAGTTTACTTATTAGCATTTACAATTTATTTAAAAATATAAAACTCGTCTCTATCCTGANTATTAGCATTTACAATTTATTTAAAAATATAAAACTCATCTCTATCCTGAAAATTAAGCTTTTTGACATTTTACAATAATTAATAATAAAAAACTTTTAAAATAAAATCTCATAATAGATGGCGCCACACACAATTTTAACTTTTTTTGCCGGGAAAGTACGTCAACTCGCTGCTTGATTTTTATCTTTTTTTCGCAGAAATAAAATTTTTCCTTAAAGTTAAAAAATATCATTTTACTGTAAAACTACACTTCAGGGATAATTTTATGTTATTAAAAATATATTAATAATGAATTATAAAAATATTTTATTAATATAATTAGAAGCAATCATTAGATAAAAATTTAATTAAGGTACTCATTATAAAATATATTAAAATTATTTTTAGATTTTTTTTTTATGTTTGTCAATTCTTCTGAAGGTGAATTCTTAAACACGATGCTATTTTTGTAACGACTCGAGTTATTGTTTTACATATTAATGAAGGATACATTTTAGAATTTCGTTCGATGATGTCAACACGGATCTCAGTTCATAAATAATTAGTAAAAAAAATTAAATACAATTAAATATTATGTATATTGTATTTTCTCGGTTTTAAATTATACTTCTTTTTTTATAAGAAAAAAACACATTTTTCTAACAAAGTGAACTGATTTCAAAGGACGTCATCCCCAATTTCTCCAATATAATCACCTCGAGGACACGTCTTAATCTTATATCAAAAATCTGAAGGATTTATTAAGAATTGAAGTGGAATACCAGCCAAGAAATCGAATTAATTTCCTACAAGGATATATTCCTACCTGAATTACACAACCAGTAAAAAATTTTTTACTTAGAAAAACTAAATTTATATTTTTTCGGTGCTAGATATTAATTAAAACGAATTATTTTTAGTTATTTATTTATTCGATGTTGTACATTAAAATAATAAAAATTAAATTAATAAAGTAGTTTCCTGTTGAAGGAAGAACTACGTTAAATTCAAGTTTATATTAAATTCATATTATATTAATTACTCCCATTTTTTAAAATATAAACTTTACAAAGAAAATTACTTATAAATCAATAAATTTTTTTATGATATTTTCTATATTTAAGGTAGGGGAGCCCATTAAATCCAATCAAGTTTGGACTATGGTCAACGAGTTCAAACTTGGTCATAATGGCATCCCTACCATATTTATTAATAACATAAAATGATGATAAGAGTTAAGGTGTTTAAGCCTGTTGGATGATTATTAATAAAATTTTATTAAATTCAAGATTTCTCGAGTACATTCGAGCGTGAATCCACGAGGTAATCACTTATATGTTTTGTGATAATTCGATCAGAGATGTGAAATTAGTCGTGCTGCCAAGTAATTATTAATCTTAATAATTTCAAATTCTTGCCCCTTATAAAGTCAACCGAAACATTTCTAAAAATAATTTCTACTTTTCTTTCACTATTTTTTGTACATGAAATATCATCAGTTTATTTGCTTAACGAATCAAAGCAAAGTGCTAAAAATAGGCGCTACTTTTGCTTAAATAATTGTTAAAAAATTAACTAAAATAAAAATTTATTTTATTTTAATTAATTTAATTATAAATTTTGTTTATTTTCTTAACTAAAGGAGATTCTATCCACTCGAAAATAGTAGAATTATCGCATTGACTGACGTGTGTAGTAATATAACTGTAGGACATTGTCAGCTTCATTTATAATTCACAGCAGATGTGTTTCATACTTTAACCGATTTATATAGAGAAAGAGTAAGGTTTATTGCTGTTTTTGTGTAATTTAATACTTTAACAGACGTAGGAGAGGAATTAAAGAATAAAAGTAATTAATTTGAACTGCAAACGTTCGTTTCCTATCTTTAAAAGTAGTAGATAAACCTTTGCTATCGCCGCTTATTTAGTAACTTTTCGATAAGATTTATTAAAGTGAGGATTATAGAAAGGTTTAGAAGATTTGTAGCTCGGTAGATTAATCGTCTTTCTTTAGATTAAAGCGAAGTAAATACTTAGTGCATGTCAAATTAACAAGTGCTTCGATAAGAGCAGATCGATTAAAGTTACAGCCAAATGTATGGGATACGAACAGATTAAAAACAATCGATTTACTAAATTTAGAAATTATATGAATGAGGAAGAAAAATGACAGAATTCTTGTTTAACTAAATGATTTTTTAAGGGTTTTTTAATGTAAATTTAATTCAAATTTCAAATTGAAGAGCTACAGATTCTCACTGTCGATCGTCTTTCCGTCTGTCCGTTCGTTCTTCTTTAATACCGAGAATGGAGTTAGATAAAAATCGAGACCAGATATGGAAACTCTTAGTGGCCGGAGGACCGTAATCTTTCAATATCTGGTCTCGATTTTCATCCAACTAACACAATTCTCGAGATTAATGGATTAAAACGTGTAATATTATAAATTTATAAGATATATTCTACAGTATTATGTATATTATTTTTTCCCAAGAGATTTAATTTCAATTTTAAAGCGAAAATCTGATGTAACTTCTGTTGTGGATCGTTTTTTTCTTAACTTTCTCAATACTTAAATTAATTATTTTCAGATTTAAAATACTTTAAATTAATGCTAATCGAGATAAATTACAATTTCATTAATCTGAAAATAAAGTCTTCTCTGCAGTTAATTTCTAAAAACTGAAAATATAACGAGAGTAAGAATTTTTTCTGAGATTCTTATCCATTGCCTACAATGATTTCTGTAATTCTCTTTAACTTTTCTATGAATAAACCAAATTTAAATAAGTTATATCGATGATAGACTTGTCTGAATAACAGGAAGCATCAGATTTTTCTCTTCAAAAATTAAATTCGAGCATTGATAAATCTAAAATTTGCCTTTTCCAGGAAATTCTATAAGGTCCAATTACCAGAATTCAATTTTCTTTCTATTTTAAGTTTACTTTGTTAAAACTTTCTGTCTTAATTAATTAAAAGAGAAAAAGTTAAAAGACTAGAAGGACATTTTTCAATTTGCACGTAAACTTTTTTACAATGCATGGAAGCCCGAAGGCAAAAGTCAACTTTCATTCCTCTGAAACTAAATTATCAACAAAAGTTAAGAATTTAAACTAGAATTTAAAAAAAAGGAAGGAGAGAAGAGGAAGTTTAAACAATGTGCCTTTAACATGCACCGTCTAGACAAATACGAGGTCAAAGTTCGTTCGCTACTCACCATGTTGTAAGGTTAGGCGCGTCTGTACTGAACGAAGGAGTTGAGAATAGTCCAGGAACGGATCAGCACCAAGTCCGATTTTCAACAACTGAAGTAGTTAATATCACGTGGTATGACGTAATCTGATCTATCCAATAGGACAAAGGGATTTGGCTCAAACGACATTTAAGGTTTAACAAATAACCAATGAGAATACGAAGATGATCCCCAGAAAGAATTTCTTTCTCAACCCCATTTCGGAATTGGAACAAGACAACTAAATTTAGAATATCGTGGACAATAGTAGATGCTGGATTACATGTGGAAATATGAGAATACCGTTTTATCACCTTCGATTTTCGTGAATTTTTATTTAAAAAAAAAATAGGGTTTATTATCGCCAATAGCTTATTTATGACGAAGGGCAGAACGGGAATTTACCTTAATTGTGCTTATAAAATGCACGAAATTAAATTTTTCGTGTCGAAGTAAATGATAAATTACTTAAAAATTAATATATTTAATTTATAACTGAGTATTCTATGCAAAATATTTAACAATTTCGTGTGTTTTGATGGTGAAAAAGAAGAAATTTTTTTTGGAAATAATTGAATGAGATCGTCAACTCCAGACAGGAAGTCAAAAAAGAACAGCTTTTGGTTTATTTTTTTTGGCAAGATTATTAACAAGTAGAAGCTATCACTGTCGATTCAACGCAAGGGGAATTATAGAAGTATTTTTGTAGTTTATATAACGGTTAGTATGGAAATCATCTATATACAAAAACTGCTTAATTTTAGTCGGGATTTATTTTTATTTCTTCAGTCGCTCAACGTTCTGCCACTTCCAGAACCTCAAATACTTTCTTCCGGTAAGTATTGTTAGCTGCTGATCTTCTAGTATAAAGTGAATAATACGTGTACTTCTTCCTCTATGAAAATTTACGGCGTGAAGTAATCGAAACGAATTTATATGCAAAAAGTAAAAGGAAGAAAATTCGAAACTAGAAGGCTCGAAGTATTGCAGAATAAATTGTTATTTTCTCCTGTCGAAATAAAACAATAGGCAAAAGAACGAAAATAGAAGCGCATTCTTATCTTTCGTAATTCTTTATATTTTTAAAGAAAGACTTCTACTTCATTTTGTATAACCTGCGCCTATCTCAAAACAAATCTCTATCTTATGACTCATTGTTCAAATTTTGGCAATAGTTCTGGCGGGGGTTTACGCACGTGTTAATAAATCTCAAATTTTTTTTTCTTCCCCCATTATACGTGTATCCGAAAGAAAAGAAGAGTATCAGTTACACACTCGTATCTCGAATTTCATCTTCACTATGTACAGCCATTGATCTTGGGTTATGGCCCTACTTCAATTGAAATTATCCCTTGTTTCGGATCGTATCTGGAAATTTGCCATATTTACTCTTAGGTAGATTTGTAACCTGGCCTAATTGGCAAGAACTTAGCTAACTGGCACATATCTTTTCTCATACTCTATCCCAGAATAAGATTATACTGCATACTACCAGATATTTTGCATCCATTCAAGACACCTGTTTTCATTTTAATGAAGTGTTACTCTTCTATACCCCAAGTTTGGTTTATTGATTCCGTGTCATCTATTAGAATGCCTCTCGTCTTAACAATTTTTCCATTAACTATGAAATATAAGAGTAGATTAGACATATAATTAAGTGGGGGAAGAGTTAATGGAATGTAAAAAACGACGTCATCCTCCTCTTTCATCTTTACAGGTGATTAAATATAATTGATCTAGAATTTAAGGCTTATACCAGTAAATTGTCATTAGAATTAATATTTTAGGATTATTTTAAGTCAATGTGACTCTACTCTCTAAACGGAAGCTATTAACTTCTAAGCTGCGATTTGTAATAATAATAATAATAGTGTATTACGTGTTTATGGTTAAATAGCACGTGTGATGGTTTGTCNTAAATTTTAAGTGGTAAATATTAGGAAATTATCCATAAAATGTTTAATAATATTTATATCGGGTTAAACCATATTTGGTCAGCGTCCTAAAATACTTGGATGATGTCCATTAAAATATATTTTTGGTAAAGTCGCAGCTACAACTAAAATTTTTTTTATTGCTTCCATTTTTTTAAACATCTTTTAATGATAATAAACGTAAGGCGATAAAAACTTGGGTTTGTTATTATTATTATCATTATTAAATATAAGCAAGCTACAACATCTGCTCTATGGATGTAATAAAACACACCCCGAATTTCCTGTTTCATTTTCTTCTATCGAATTATAAATGATAAATTATCGAGCCCACAAAATCGAATTTTTAATTTTATAAGAAACATTTTCTAGAATTATTATTATTATCAGAAAATTCTCACGTAACGGAATCTAAATCAGAAAACAGGATGATTGATGATAACCAAAGCATTTATAGATATGCCTGTTATATCCACACGGCAATCATTTGCTCATAAATAATTATAGATTTGCTGGAAGATTAACGATGAACAACTCGATTATTAAAAGATACTTGTAGTAACATAAGCCATTCGCTTTAATTCTCTACTAAAAATGAAATTAATTCTTAAATATTTTATTTAAATACGAGACTTTCTAAGTGTCTTAACTTTTTAAATTTAATTTCTTTTTTTATTTTATTTTATAAACTGTAAGACACTTTTTAGATGATTGTTTCTTAAGCTTTTTATAAATGTAATCAATTATTATATAATTCAGTAAATTAAAGTTAATTTTTATTTAATTAAATATTATTATAAATAGAAATGATTACATAATTGAGAAAAATTTAATTGAATTTTTAATATATTTTATGCGAGAAAAATAATTTAATTGTCTTACATGACAGTTTTGAAACCAATTTTAATTTACTCTTAAATAAGTAAATAAATAAATATGTTATTTTTATTTACAAAATAATACATTTATTACAAATATGCAATTAAATTCATTAAATTTTAGAAGTGTTATCTAAAGAACTGATTTTTCCCCCTCTAATATCAAATGAACGAAATCAGAGATTCTTTAACATTCCAATAATTATCTTTCGAGCATTATTTTCTTCCCAAAGAATTTTTTTCGTGTATAATAAGAAATTTAAGATCTNTTAAATGAAAATGGAGAGTAGATACGTACAGCTAAATGCACAAAAATTTAATTTTTTAAGTCATTTTATAAATGTTTATTCCTAATTTTCTTAAATTAAGAAAAATAAAAATAAATAAATAAAAATATTAAAATATTAGTCTATATTTTATAAAAAGTCTTTTTTATTTCAGTAAATATATATATTTTTAAAGCACGATCAAGTTTTATATTTATTGAAATAATTAAGAAATATTATAGTATATAAAATTTTTAAAAATTTATTAATATATAGATGAATTAATTAATTAGTAAATGTCAAGTGGATATAGAATGCCTGAATTTCGGAAAATTTGAATAAAAGAAGAGGAGGAAGAATTAGATTGTGCCATTGGCAGCTTGTATGGGGCCCTAATTATCTCATTTCTCTTTTGCTTCTTACTTGTATTATTGGGTCCCTTTAGCAATTTTTTGAACGAATAAAAAACGAATAAAAAGTAGCATTAATTTTATAGGGGTAGGAACCACTACGAGCCCCTAAGTTTTCTCCGTGCTCGTGGAAAAATCTGCTGATCACCTCTCTCCGAGGCTCTACTAGAATAAAGATTTTGAATTGAAACCACGTGACTTCTGGGCTGGACCGGAAGTTCGTATACAGTTAATCGAGCCTCCGCCCTATAAACTTACCGTATCTGGTCTCGATTTTCATCCAACTAACACAATTCTCGAGATTAATGGAGACGAATGGAAGACGACAGTGGAAATGTATAAGTCTTCAATTTGAAAATTACAGCCCAATTATATTTGACTTATAAAAATAAATTTCATTTTGATACACACGAAAAAATTATAAAATATAAAAAATTAAATGAATTATGCACCAACGGATGTTAAAATTTATGTTATTGTTACATAAAAAATTGCAATCTTTTAACTATCAGTCTATGTACGAATTAAAATAATATAAAGATTTTAATTCACGAGACGTGGGGCATTCACACGAAAGAAAAATTACTATTCTTTTGGATAGAAAAAAGTAATTCGAACTCTGACATTCCGATTTCACTTTGACCTTTAACACACGTTACACATCAAGTCATTTACTTGAATAAAATTAAGTCAAAGTATATAATTAAATTAAATACAACTTCACCAGCATTCTAATAAAGTTTTTCACATAATCAGAAAAACACTTCGTATTTCCTGTGTACCAAGCTATTGTATTCGTGCGTATTACACACTACGAACAACAATACTTCGCCGAATATCGAGTAGTAATGGAAATTTTTACTTGTTTTCCGGATTTAATTATATTTAAGTAGACTCTCGAATGAATAAAATGAGCTCGTCTCAACTAAATATATTTTAAATCTAGTTCACGTTTTCTAGGTTATTTCTTTTGTTAAATCTTTAATTAATGACAGATTTTACACCTTAACAACAGTATAAACGTCTATCTCCATCTAGCGAATGGAAGATAAACCATTAAACAAATTATTTTATTAATATATTTAAATTAAAAGAATAAAAGTAAATTAATGTAAGTGCCAAAAAATAAATAAATTATAGATTTAATTCTGTTAAATAAAATGGGTATTTAATAAAAAAAAATCTGTAATAAGATAAAAGTAAAGATAACAAGAGTTTGAGTTCGGATCAATATTTTCTTTTAATCTGGGAGAATTTTTTCTATTAAAAGAAGGGAGCAAGAATCACTTACGAACAGGGAAAAAGCAGAGAAGAAAAGGTAAATAGGGGGAAAAAAAGTGAACAAATCAAATATTCAGGTTGAGATGACTTCTCTTACCTCGGGAAATATTTGAATAATTTGATAAAACAACTTTTAAACTAGTTTTTTCTCATCTAAAACTTTTATTTATGATATTTTTTTATGGTATAATTTATATGAGAAAAGATCTTTTTAATTATAATTAAAACTTTAATTATAGACTATATATACGTACACGTACTGTACTGTACAAGGCATACATACTGTTCATACATATATATATATATATATATATANATATGAATGAGGAAGAAAAATGACAGAATTCTTGTTTAACTAAATGA